CACGGTGTAAGTGATCGCGTTAAAGGAAATAATTGGTTTACCTATGTCAAAATCTTCCCGGTACTGTTGAATCTCCATATACCGCAATAAAATCCCGATCATTCCAAACTCGAGGTGGTTGTTATCTCAATCTAGTAGAAGTGTTTGCGATGGATTTTTGCATTTGATGATCGGCTTCAGATTTCAATAAACTTCGGAGACTACCTTGTACCTCAGTGATCACTACACTGAGTTCGTGTTGTGGAAAGAATGTTGATCATATAGTTTCAAATGTTTGGAAAATACTAGTTTCATTTCGTAATGTTCTTTTTAAAGTGTACAACTTGTTATGGCTAAGTTTTCAAATATCCCCTGCGCGAACACTATTCATGATTCACTTGATTCAATTACCTCACTTCAGAGAGCTCAAATCCTCTCTATCGAGCTGTGTATTACACTGTATCTACAACGGGTTATTTCCTGAGCTTTTGGGATGCGGTAAAACGTGAGTTTACTTGTGGCTAGAGGATGATAAATGTCCCGGTTGTTCATTGGTTGTCGTCAAGTGATAAAGGTCACCAACTTATGGTCCCGGGGGATGTGTTTTCAAATCACACAATTACCACCTGACTTTCGGTAGTAATCAAAGTGGGTACGGATTACAGCTCATGAATCACGGTCGCAGCTGAAGCACCGAAGAACACTAGCAATCGTGGGCTGGGATCTCCCTTCATTGAGACGCAGGAAGAAGGCCACAGAAGTAAAGGTTCATATTTTGAGAAAAATCAATGGGGTTAAATAATGTATAAATATTAAACGGATATCAACCACTCACTGTACTCGTGCTTCGAGTCGCACGGCTTCTGTTTGAACTGTAAGGCTATTGATTAGTTGATATTGTTGGCTCGTGGTCTGATGTCCATAAACTGGATCGCGTAAGGGTTTGTATGGCGTCATCTCGAAGGCTTGGCTCGCCATACTCCCCCCATTCTCTGTGCTACATGGCAACCCTTTGATTGGCCACCTCATCCTTCCTAAAATAATGCATCATTATATATTCGATATATATCCGAGGAAAAGAGGAAAAAGGTACGCTGGTAATATGATGATTCCTGGGCTATTGTCAGGTATTTTAATAATAATATCCTCGTTGTTCCTCAAGCCTTTTTAGCTCTCCGTTTATGAAGCATTTTATGTTTAGGCAGTCCATAACGCACCATTATTATTCGATAATCATCTATTTGGATTGTTTTTATCAGACATGTTCGGACGGCAAATGTGTCCCAACCCCGATGATGATACCAGATGCGAATGGATGGAGTCCGTTCACCGAGTGGACAGTTTGTTCCCGTACTTGTGGAATCGGGACGCAATATCGCGTACGCACTTGTCTCGCCCGGTAAGCAACGTTTGCCTGTTAGTACTGAGTATTTTATCGGAGTATGAACGGCTGATGTTGAGTACATAATGGAATGAATGGATGCGGATGTTGCTGTTGGTGTGCTCTCTGAGCTGAAAGTGTTGTTGTTCACAGACGTCTCGTAGCCAGGCTACATAGCATCATCATCAGTGCAACTTTGTGTGTATTCCGAAATCAGTTGTTAACAGATCCACAATAGCACAGTGTTAACTGAAATGTTACACGACAAAACGAATGAACTGTAAAACAAGGTACATGGGTTCGGGAAAGAAAACTTTCGAACCGACTGAGTGCTGTTGTACTAAGCACGATGTTCGGTCTGGCCCAGGCCGGTCGAGCCAAACATCTCGCTAAATACGGATTGATAAACCGGCGAACGTAGACAAGCATGTACTTGTTCCATGTTATTGAACTGGATATAGATTCACCTACATGTGAGATTACGTGGGCGAGTGCTACATGGGCGGGATAAAAATGTTGAGAGAAAAAAATGGGCGCGGCCAAATGTGTTTCGTTACAGTATACTTTAGTGGATTGGAGCGTGGGAATATACTGGAGTGAACGACCCGTCGATGCCTAAGAGGCGAATCGGAAAAAAATAACCCTGGGAAAGAATGGGATAGAACGTAAGCTCGTACCATTCTCAACATGAGAAACTTATGCGGGGCTTTGCAATGAAGTGATGACATAAGTGGAATTCCCATTGCAAGCTGTGTAGGGCTGTCGACCGTTCACCGATGAGCAACTCTGGACACTTGCGTTCTGTTTCCACCCAAGCGTTTACTCTTACAATAGTTTGTTGCTATATTTAGGTGCATTGATGGATTAAGAACGGAACGACCAATGGGAAATGGAAGATAAGTGAGTGAAACATTTTTCTCGAGAATAGAACCAACTGCCGCGACATCATCAGTAAGCGAGATAAGTAATAACTGCTACGCATTCTGGGTGTTTTTTAAAAAAATCGCCAAATGTGCTGTTACGTGGTCAGGTAGGCCTTACTAAGGTTCTCCCTGAAATAGATGTACAGGAAACGAGACCTAATCTGGCAAAACTTCTAGGGATAGGTGCTCTTTTCATAGATACGTCTGACAGACAAGAAAGTGAACAAACCGCCTAGCTCACGCGTACATTCATTATTGACCAGCGGCTGAGATCCGTCGGATCCTGGTGATTTGTTTGATTGACAGTCTATAACTTAAATGACCGCTTCACTGTGGCTAACTCTTGATTTGTGTGTGTGAGAGAGGGAGAGAAAGATAGACAAGTTCACTTGTCCGATCGAGGCAATGTAATAGTGAGTATGTAATTGAGGTGAAACCAACGAGTTTTGCATTTCAGGCAGTAGAGTGTCTTTCGTTCGTTCCACAGCGACCATTTGGGGTTTACAGCGG